AATTATACAAAAGATACAAGGGATACCGAGGTATGGGGAATCCTTCATAAATAGACCTTGATAGAAGCATCAGATCTTGTTTTATGCTTGCAAATGCTGTGCATACAAGCATCTATCCACCAAATAATTGCTACTGAGGCAGAACAGTCAGTAAATACCAAAATCTTTAGCATATATTGTCCATGCAGAATTTCAGGTATTTTTGTGTTAACCAAACTTCTTTTTCTCCCTTCTTTATTTTGTTTTCCAGGTTTTACTTCATCGGTTTCAGAGTACGCTGGTAATAGCTGAACATGCCAACGAGGCCCTTACACCAATTACTTTGAACACCATTACTGCAGCAAAACGGCTCGGAGGTGAAGTGTCCTGTTTGGTAGCTGGGACCAACTGTGAAAAGGTAAAAAAAAAGAAGAAGAAGAAGAAAGTGTGCTTACACAGGCGGTGGTTCTTGTCTACTAATTGGCTGGTTAGAAACATTCATTAGCTTTGGTGTGAGAGTTTTTCAAACTTGAGTACAGAAATAAAAAAATCCATCTAATGTTGGAGCTGCTGAAAGGAAAGGAATGTCAAGGTATCTCAGAGTAGGACTGAAAGAATTGAGAATGTCATAACTCTAAATTGGTGTTTTTCAACCTTGGCAACTTCAACTCCCAGAATTCCCCAGCCAACATGGAATTCTGGGAGTTGAAGTCCACCTGTTTTAGAATTGCTATGGTTGAGAAACTGCTGTAAATTACAGTTCTTTATCCACCCCCCCCCCATGGAATTATCTTCTCACCAACATCTAGGCAGGATAGCAATGCGTCCCCTATACAAATAATAATCTAACATTCCAGATGTGTGGAGATGGCTAGGAATTTTGGGAATTGGGGAACACTGAAGTCAGGATCTCCTTCTCATAGGTGGCACAAGAGCTGAGCAAAGTGCAGGGAGTTTCCAAGGTTCTTTTTGCCCAACACGATGCATTTAAAGGACTTCTGGCTGGTGAGTCTCTTTTCCAAACTGTTTTCACATTAAGATTATTTGCAGTCTGCCTTTTGCCAGACCAAAAAAAAAAAAAAAAAAAAAAAAAAAAAAAAAAAAAAAAAAAAAAAAAAAAAAAAAAAAAAAAAAAAAAAAAAAAAAAAAAAAAAAAAAAAAAAAAAAAAAAAAAAAAAAAAAAAAAAAAAAAAAAAAAAAAAAAAAAAAAAAAAAAAAAAAATTGCTCCAACCATTATATTTTTCTCTCCAGAGGAGCTGACTCCGCTGATTTTGGAAACTCAGAAACAGTTCAGTTACACACACATCTGTGCTGGAGCATCTGCCTTTGGGAAGGTGAGCATATTTTAAACTGCCCAGAATCTGCTGCTCCAGAGAGATTGAACCACTATATAAATAGGATTCTGAACCTCTGTGATACTCCTAAAATGTTGCATATGCTGTTCAGTCTATTAATCTTTCATTGTTTTAATGGAGGTGGTGTCACAGAGGAGCACTAAGTGTATTGCTTAAACGTATCTGTAATTTTCAGGGTAGAATTAGAACAGCTGCTTAGTTTTGTCTTGGTGTTGCTGAGTTGTTCTTGTTGCTACTGTCCACGTATTTTTAATGTTTAGAATCTCCTTCCCAGAGTGGCAGCTAAGTTGGATGTTGCTCCTATCTCAGACATAACTGAAATCAAGTCACCTGATACTTTTGTGAGGACTATTTATGCAGGTGAGTTTTGGGGGTCTGTTCTGGTGTACTTGTGACCCACAGGAGTACAGAGGAGGAAGCTCTAGGAGCTGGGGAAGTGGAAATAGTTTCCCTGACATGGCTCACAGGATCCTTCCAAGTACTATAGGATTGTAGCGCAGTATTCAGAGAAACCAGATACAGCTTCTTAATTAACCAAATCTGCTGACATTCTTCATAAGTATTGTATTGTTAATGCACTCCTGATAAGATTTTGCAAACCGTAAGCCATTCAGCTAATCCCCTTTATTTCAGGCGGGTAACATTAGTTCTGATTTCAGCAATCCGTAGGGTTATTTTTCTTAGTTAGGAGGACATTGATACAATTATTTGTAATATTTAATTGACTTTCCCTAATTATTTTGCAGCCCAAATACTTGTCTAGCCGCATTATGTTTATCTGATCCCCTAATGTAATTTGGACATGAAAGCATGAGCTTTTATGTCTTTTTAAATTTGTTATGGCAGGGATCTTTTTCCTTTTCCCAATGCTATCCTGCCTTCAGAGATTGATGGATTGCATATAGAGGCTTGAATCACCATCTAATAATTTCCTCTTTAAAAATCATTATGCTAGGCTAGTAACAGTGGGTAATTTTTCTCCTCCTCCTCCTCCTCCTCCATCTCTTTCTTTCATGTCTTCTAAACTCCCCACCCTCACAAAGCATTCTTCTTTGTGATTGGGGGTTGCAGGCCCTGTGTTCAGACAGTGGGTGCTTTTTTATACAAAGCCACAACTGCAGACTTCTGTGAAAATTGCACAAATTCATTATCCCAAATAGGTCAAGCCGTTCAGCTTCATGAAAGAAAAGAATTCTTCAGCTAGAGGTGGCTAATGGAAAAGTGGAAACGTGTAACACTTGAGTCTGCTTTTTGAGCCTTTTAAGTTTCACTGTCTAAAATAGTTTCATCTGAACAAAAGTCAAACCATTGTCTGGGTGCAGCTGTATTTGACCATGATTTTTTTTGGGGGGGGGTCAGGCAATGCTCTGTGCACTGTGAAATGTGACGAGAAAATAAAGGTGTTCTCTGTCCGAGGTACTTCCTTTGAGGCTGCCCCAGTGAGTGGGGGCAGTGCAACCGTGGAAAAAAGTGAGTGTTCCGTTACATTTTGGCCTTCTTTTGCTTCAGTTGTAATTGGATTAAAACATTTATTAAAATAAATACAGAGACATCTGCTCGTGCTGTAATATAGTTACATGTGTGTCTTGCATTCCCCTCTCCTCTTCTTACATTTTCCGATTCTCAAAGTTCTCTGGAACATCTTGCTTGTTTGTGCTCTTTTTCTGTGGGTACCTTGTGAAAATGCAAGGTTTGTAGAATTCTTGGATACTGCATCGTGCAACATCTAACCTGTTTTGGATAGCTGCTAAGATTCAGACTCAAATCTTCACCCCGCCAAGATGCAATCCTAGATGTCATGACTGGAAACAATAGAAAGCAGTTGGAGTAAATGTCTTTCTGTTTTGGCTGTTAACTTAGTTCAGTATCATAAAGTTAGCGGTTAAGGTGTTGGACTAGGAGTGGGACAACCTAGTTCTAGTCCTGTCTTAGGCACAGAAGCCAGCAGGGTGACCTTGGGCCAGTCATTCCCTCTCAGCCCTAGGAAGAAGAAAGCAAGGACAACCCATATCTGAAAATGCTGCATTGTCTGCATAAGACTGACCTCGAAGGCAGAAAAAGGAAAAAAAAAAACCCATTAACTTCAACAATATAGAATGAGATTGCTTGGTAGAAACTGAAACAGAATGATTACATGCCCCTAAAATATGTGAGTATGTAATGGCCTGATTTTAGTATCTGCAAGTGGATTACAGTTGTCTGTACACTGTAAAGTAAGGAGGAGAGAGGGGGTTTCATTCTCACCACGCAGAGTTCTTGCCACTTCTGTTCTTCCACCCTTTAACTTGTGTGACCTCTTCTAGAATTTGGTTTTAGCCTCTTTTACTCTTTGTAGGTGGTGAATGAGTAGCCTGGCACCTAAAGGTAGCCATGTTAGTGTTTTGCACAAGACTTAGATTTGTGATGGAATAAGTTTTTGTGGACTGAAGTCCAACACCATATGGAGTGAATGCTAGTCTAATTCTAGCTCTTTTCTCTAATGCTGTTTAAAATGTGGTTGAGAGTAAAACATTTGGGCTTAGAAGCAATAACTGGGGACTGCTTTGGACTTTGCAGAAATATTCAGCTTCTTGTTTAGGTGTTGACATGTATTGTTAATACCAACAGTATCAGCTCCTGCGCCAGTTGGCCAGTCTGAATGGATTGAGCAGAAGTTAACCAAAAGTGATCGGCCAGAACTTACTAGTGCAAAAGTTGTTGTATCAGGTGGTAAGTAGTGATTAATCAGTTTATTCATGAGCTACATTTCAAATAAGGGAGTATGTATATTTTAAAAATTGTTCATCCTACAAAATTCTGGCTTAGGAGTTTTCAGCCAGAGCAGTGTTTCTCAGCCTTGGCAGCTTGAAGATCTGTGGACTTCAACTCCCAGGATTCCCCAACCAGCATGAATTCTGGGAGTTGAAGTCCACACATCTTCAAGTTGCCAAGGTTGAGAAACACTGAACTAGAGAGACAACTGAACTAGAGAGACATTAAAAATTGTTCATCCTACAAAATTCTGGCTTAGGAGTTTTCAGCCAGAGCAGTGTTTCTCAGCCTTGGCAGCTTGAAGATCTGTGGACTTCAACTCCCAGGATTCCCCAACCAGCATGAATTCTGGGAGTTGAAGTCCACACATCTTCAAGTTGCCAAGGTTGAGAAACACTGAACTAGAGAGACAGAATAACGGGGGAACTTGTACTTTACCAAGTTGTATGTGACATTAATAACCATAAATACCCACCTTTGACTTAACAATTGGTTAAGAACTTTAATAAAAGTCTGCTTTTCATTGGTCACAGTTGGTAGATAATACTGTAATACTATATCTCACTTCATATTTCTAAGTTAAATACTAAATTAAAAGAAAGCAATAGAAAGAATGTTCCCCGCTTTCCTACTTGAAAATTGTAGCAAACGCACAGAGGGAGAAGAGTTTGGCAAGATTTAAGTCCTGTTTCTACCCTGATGATATTGTTGATGAAATGAGCATCAATAGGGGAGTAATCTGTTAATCCAGAAGCAACAGTTACTTATGAAAATAGCTACAGCAAATGCCATTTAAATTCATAGTGTTCCTTTGCCGGAGTGCATGGAGAAATTAATTGGGCAGAAGCAGTAGGAATATAGAACGCAAGGGTTGAAAGGGACTTAGAGATCAACTCGTCCTACCCCCAGTCCAGTGCAAAAATCCACTACTGCCGCATCTCTGAGAGAGAGCCATTCCTCCTTTTTTGAAAATCTCCAATGAGAGAGAGAGATTCGCCACCTGCTAAGGGCATCTGTTTGACCTTAATGCTGGACCTCGTGACTTTAAACCATTTGAAGAGATTTAATTTCTTATTTTTAAGGACGAGGCTTGAAGAGTGGTGAAAACTTTAAATTGTTGTATGAACTGGCTGATCAGTTGCACGCCGCAGGTAAAAAAATGCCTTACTCTTGATTCTTGAAACCATCATGGAACCCCTGTTCCCATTATATTATTGGTGGTTGCCAAGCGATGGGGCTGGTTCAGTGTTTGCTGTTGATAACTGAGGAATCCAAGAAATTGGCTTGGATGCTAATTTCTGTGAATGGAGGCCTCTCACCTGCGACTTGTCCTGGCAATCTTTTCCTGGTCTTTTAGAATATTACCAGTCTTGCCAGGGCGGGGAGGGGGGCACCTAGAAGTGGGAATTGGCAAAATTAAGGAATCTTCATCTCAGGACCAAGCCCTGAATATTTTGTCTTATATTGTACGATCTTTCCTTGCTTGTAGTTGGTGCTTCTCGGGCAGCTGTTGATGCAGGCTTTGTCCCCAACGACATGCAAGTGGGACAGACTGGCAAAATTGTAGCACCGGTAAGTTTTGAAGTGACTTTTGGAAAACAGACCGGTTGAAATGTCTGTAAGATGAAAGAAGCGTCTTTGCGTTTCCCTCGCCCGGCTATTTGTGATCGACGGCCTGCAGCTCCAACTCCTCTCCTGCCCTCCCCCCTTTGCAGATGTTTTCTTTCTGCTGCCTGGTGTCCTTGTACTGTGTTAAGCAGAGCTTGTCTGAATGGAGCGCCGTCGCGGCAGAGTGTCACGTGAAAGGGAAGTGGCTTCCCGAAGTGGAGTGGACCTTGATTTGAATATTGTTGGAGAGTTGCCGCGATGGTGGATCTGCTTGGAATGAATCAAGGGACTTGGTGTCACTTTTCCCAGTGTTCTGGGCTCAATTTCTGCCGGCCTAGCAGGGGGTCTCTGCTTTTATGATTATTTATAGGATCTTTGAATTGGCTCAGGAGGGAATTGGGCCATGCAAGGAGGGCTTTGGGTGGGTGATACTGATTTTTTTCTAATAGCTGGGAAGTGGTGGAGGTAGTAGCTTACGACATCCATCCCTAACTTGCGTCTCCCAGATGTGCTACAGCTGCAACTCCTGGAATTCCTAGCTGTCAAGACCACAGCCTGGAATTATGGGAGCTGTGGTTCCACCACACTGGGAAACTGCTTTAATGACATCTTGTTGTCTTTTTTGGGGTACGTTTTGGCAACTCTTCCATCAGCTGTAGGCTATTATGGCATAATAGTCAGCTATTATGCTGTTTCACCTTGGGGTACTGAGGAGAATTCTGCAACCTGCTTAGGTCTACCAAGACTAATAGAAGGTTTTTCCTGAAGTAATCCTTTTACCTGATGCTCAAGTGGCCAGTTGGTTCAGATATGTTAAAAGTGCTCAACCTTATGTCAAGTCCTTAGGGCAGTGTTTCTCGGCCTTGGCGACATTAAGATATATGGACTTCTGCTCCCAGAATTCCCCAGCCAGTATGCATGAATTCTGGGAGTTGAAGTCCACACATGCTGGGTGGAGAATTCTGGTCGCTGAAGTCCACATATATTAAAGTTGCCAAGGTTGAGAAATGCTGCTTTAGGGGAACATTCTTAGGAACAGCACATTCAGACCTCAACAACACAGGTTTGTTTGTTGACTTGAGAGTTGTGAAAAAATCCCCAATTCAACAGGGACGCTGTTTGAAAAGCTTTTATTATAGATGTAAGGCTTAAAGCTTGATTCAGTGCCAGGAAAATAAGTGATCCTCAGTTTACAACTTTGTGCTGGCATTATGATAATCAGCCAAAAGAGAACTGGGACTGCACTGCTTCACGGGTTGGGGTTTTGTTCTGGAACGGCCATCCCTGGATCAGCTCTTGTTGCAGGCTGTTAGCTGGCAGAGAGATTGGTGGAGACCGAATGCGAATGGCCTTACTCGTGGGCACATCATCCTGAAGGGTGATTTTTTTTTTATTTTTTGCTGTCATGTTATGTCAGTGCATCAGTCCTTCTAATAGTGAGTTGAAGTGGTGAGTGCTGAGAGTAGCCAGATGGGGCCACTGAGAAACAATAGAAATATCAGTGCGCTTGCAAGCAACTCAGTTTTTTTGTTTTTTTTTTTTACAAAAAACAAGATGCATACAAATGCCACATCAGGGACTAGAAATGGAGCCCTGTGAAGTGAGATTGACAGAACAGGACATATTTACCCTTGAGAAGAGGATCCTGTGAGGGATATGATAGCTTCAAGTACCTGTAAGGCGGTCACAGAGAAGAAGGCCAAGACCGGGTCTCTGCTGTTCCTGGAATGCAGGGTGGATAGTTACCGTCTTATCTGAGAGGCAGGCATCTTCCAGCTGAATGTTAGGGGAAAAAATCCTAACTGTAAGAGCAGAAACACCAGGAGAACCAATTCCGAAGGGAGGTGTGGTCTCTCTTTCACCGAATGTGTTCAAGCAGAAGCTTGAGAGTCATCATCTGTCATGGATGCTTTACTTTAAATTCCTACGCAGAGTTAGATTCAGAAGACTCTGTGGGTCCTTCCAACTCTGTGATTCCTATGAAGTACAAATAGTAATAATTTGGGGTTTATGGGTGTCATGTTCAGATTTCTTTGCCCCAATTCGTTTGCCCCCAGCTCAGTGAAGCTGAGTACATAAAGTACTACATACTTTATAGAAGCAGAACAAGGAGGGTCATTTGGGGGTGAGAATTGCACAGCTGGCTGGAACGTTGAACCAACTTGAGTCAAGAGTTGAGTTGCAAAACCCATTTGTTAGATTGGTTGTTAGCAATGAGGCAGTGGCTGTAGCTGGATGTTTCTGCTCTACTTGTGTTGGACAGAGTGCCAAGTAGTTTTGCTAAGAGACATCTTTTCTCATACTGGTTTGAACTGCATTGGAAGTTGGTTTGCTCTCTTGGTGCCCCCCGAATGCTCTCCAGAGATATATGTGTATCATCAAGGTAATCTGGATATTCAGTGGCTACACCTAAATGCTTTTCAGTTCAGTGTAGTGAAGAAAGGATATGCATTCTCTCTTCTTTCCATCTGGATCTTCCTGCCAGACATCTTTAAATTAGAATTTAGGTAAAACGAATTTTTGTTTTAAAAATTAGTACCATTGTTAAAAGGATTTTTTCTAATGTAAAGTTTTTTTCATGTTTTGTTACTGCACCCACATTTTTGTACCCATACTTAAGAAATTCAGAATTATTTAAATCATTGTTTTGAGTTGTGCATCAGTAACTGATACTGTGGAGAGCAACTTCACGCTTTTAATAACTTTAATAATTTTTTAATAACTTGCAGTTCCTTTGTCTGTTCTGCTTAATCATTGGTGCCTTCAGAGTATGCATTCCTGAACACTTTGCACTAAAACTTCTGCAAAGATGTGGATCGCTTCAAACTTCTTATATTTCACAGATGCCTAACCTTTGAAGAAGTCCAGTGCATCTCACTGTATCAGATTATTTTATTACCAGACTACTATTGTTCAACCAGTGCTATTGGTTGATTAAAAACTGGGGAAACTTTGGTTTGGATTAAGAAATTGTTTATGCCTTTTGAAGGCTTTCAAGGTGCAACTTCAAAGAATTGTTTGCCTGTACCCAGGGCAGAATTTTTAGACTCTTTCTCTGTCTTGTGCCTAAGGTTTAAGACTGACAGCCCTGTTCGGACTGCATTATCCGACACGGCTTTTAAGTCCAGGAGAACAGTGTTCTCAAATTGATGCTGCGCTCCTCAGGGATTGGTGCAGAAACATTAAATTGTACTAAAATATTCATATGAGAGTGCATTTAGCTGAACGCAATTGATGTGCTTCTCCCAGGAGAACAAAGCAAAAAAAAAAAAAATATGCACGGCCCCGCACTCAAGCGGACACCCTAAGCAGGCTTCTTAAGAGTAATCACGTGTACCAGCTGA